AAGTGTACCTCTGGTGCAAATTACTGACCTCTGTCATCATTTTAAGTGGGGGAACTTGCACAATCGGTGGCTGACTAAATACTTTTTTGCCCCACTGTAGCTTTTTTTTAGGCCTACCAGTTTTTCTGAAAATAAGTGAAAAAGCACCCACTGCCCCCCCAAAAAATTGGACGACCCTCAGATGATTATTAGAGAACTATTATTCCAGACCACTTACAATAAATTACAAGAAAGTCATCTTGAAAGTAAAATAGAAAGAAATGAAGGATGGCTCAAGTCTTTTGAATCAATCGTTTATTTTCACAAGGCAAGATAACGGTTTACATAAATAATCACCAGCACAATGATGGCGGTCTTCCTAGAAACAGATTCTATAATATGGCTAAGATCAATATGAATCATCTACACAGTTCAGTTTTGTGGTTCAAAAAGAAATACCCTGTAAAGTAGAATTCTTAGAGCAAATATGTAATAGAGTAAACATTAATATTATGAAAGGTATTTATATACTTTATGCAATAGCATCCATTTGCACATTTTGGAGGACTCTAGAAAGAGCAGCTAACAGAAGGACTGAACTCTCACAGAAGCAGAGCATGAACTCAAATACAGGGAAGAGACATTTCCTTTAGTTTGTTTAATTGTAGCTGTGTGATTTTAACTGCATGCTACTAATAAGTCTAACTCTGAGGATCTTGTTCTTTAACATCATCTAATATTTTGAGTTTTCACCAAGGGCTACAGTTCCTAGAAAATTTCATTTACAATTATAGTATAAAGTGAATTTGTTTTGTTTAGCTGTCCTTTTCATGGAATTTTGAATGGATTGTGACTTGAATGAAATATTTTCTCTTGCACGTTGTTAGTGCAATATGACTGATTTATTTTATTCTAAGACCCATTTCCTTTCAGCCTCCCCTTCAAAAAAGCAGCAATACTCTCACTTTCTTATACATTTTCACTCTCTCCTCTACTTACCAGTCTGGGCTCAGAGAAAAAATAACTCTATAGTTGGGGAACAACCGGATTCTGACCTTTAAATATGGGCACTTGTCTTTTTAGTGCCGATTGTTGACTCTAACATCTTTATAAATTATATTATTAGTAGATGTAGTAGTGTGTTTCTACTTGGAGAGACCTACTGTGCATAATAAAAACATTTCCAGCACTGTGTATTGCTCAGCTGGTGCTAATGTTGAATGACTTTCAGTATTTAGCATTAATTCAGTCACATCACAATTGTAAAGAATACTGGCTGTATCATCACAATCATTTTATATATTTTTATTCAGCCTTATATTCAGAATACTTTGTAATTTTTCAAGACAGTATTTTAAATCAGTTTGTTAAGTTAGTGTCAATCCTAACAGGACATAAATATTCAAACTTATCAGTCCTTGTCTGAGCTGTTGTACTGCTGGCACGTTATTAGATATTGTTTATGCTCTCTGCCTTATCGTCCTTTTCACAGGGTGGAGGCTCAGATACTGAGCGTACCAAGAAGAAGAAACGGGGAGATCGTTACTCAGTCCAGACCTCACTTATTGTGGCTGCCTTGAAAAAGATGCTCCCCATAGGCCTAAACATGTGCTCTCCTGCTGATCAGGAGCTTATCAACTTGGCCAAGATCCGATACTCTTTGGTAGTTTTTTTTCTCACTTTGAACTTGGTTCTAGTAAACATCCGAAGTATGATTTGTATTATGATATACACGGAGGAAAACAATTGCTAAAATGTTTTACTTTACAGAGAGACACAGATGAAGAAGTAAGAGAGTTCCTGCAGAATAACCTGCATCTACAGGGCAAGGTATACTTAAAGAACCGGTAGTAAAATAGCTGCAGGGATGAGATTTGTAACTACAGATAATCAGTCTCAAGATATTTCAGAAAACTCTGTATCCATATGTTGTGAAAAGGTGGACAACCCATCCATGCGCTGGCAGATGGCGCTGTACAAGGAGATGGCAGGGAAGGCTGAAGATGCAGATGCCCCACCGAAAGTTGTTAAGAGAGTGCAGGAGGTTTCTGCGGTCCTCTACCACCTTGAAATGGTGAGTGTTGGTAATTTATAGTGCAGCAGGTGCACTATGTCTCAAATATAGATATTCAAAAATACACACAACAAAGATGTCTACACAGCATGTACTACATAGATATGAATACAGGGATAACAGAGGCTGCATGTCCTAACAGAAAAGAAAGCATAAGGCTTGAAACAATTTTAGGTGTTACTAGTCTCAGTAGTTTTTAGCTTATGTGGGTGAAATACTGGTAAGCTTATGGTATGGCATTGCGGGTTTCCATCCATCCTTTCATAAGTAAAAAGAATTGCTACTCCTCCTGTAGCGGGGGTGTCAGACATAACCGGTCTGGCAAAGACTACAAACTACACCAATATAAGGAAGTAATAGATGAACAATTAAATGACAGAAAAGTTCCAGTTTTTTTATTATCTGCTATAGGAAATACAGTTTTTAAAATACATCCACAGTAAGTTTAATAAATAAAATGGGACATTTTCTGTAACTTAAAAAAACCTTTTGTAATTACAGGTCAGTCTAGGCCAGAAGTGTCAGACTTTTACTTACTTACAACTTAAGCCCAACGAGTTGTGATAACAGATTTCTTTCATTTTCTTCTGTTGAAATATTGCAGAGATTAAATACGCAGTTAAAATTCTGAGAGAAAAGGGATTATCACCAGTCTGGCCCAATTACAATCAAAGTGGGATGCATGCGGTCCACAATGTGAAATGAGTTTTATATTCCTGCCCTGCAGCATTGGTCAGAATTTAGAAGAGATTCTGTCAGACTTAGAATTGGTTAGATACCTTAGAAATTTCTATGTTATGGAAAAAAGTAAAAAGTATATTGTTAATATAAATCAATTGGAAGTGTCAGATACCATTAGAAATTTTTTGATCACTTTACAAGTGCATGTCTTTTCTGATAGACGGAGCATCCGTTTAAATCCAAGAAGATGGTGTGGCACAAACTGTTGTCCAAGCAACGACGCAGAGCTGTGGTCGCTTGCTTTAGGATGACACCACTATATAACATTCCAAGGTAAAAAATCAACTGCTATGGAGCCATGTATGTAAAAAAAAAAAGCTAAGTATAAATACAATAAATATCCATTTTAAGTCCATCCAAGTCGTCTCTATGTTTGTGAATCTGAAAAGACCCAGGTCTAAATCTGAGTGATTGGAGAAGCCATGCAACCACAAGGCACTATATCTAGTCTATTTTGTTTTGGTTTTTGCTTTTCAGGCACAGAGCTTCAAACATGTTCCTTGAGGGATACAGGCGCAACTGGCTTCATCCTGAAGGCTTCTCATTTGAAGACAGAATGATAGACGACTTATCTGTGAGTGCCATATGTAGTTTCATCTACAGATGTTTTCCTTTTAGCGTTACTCACACTTTTGTTTTATTGAACATTCCAGAAAGCAATGGAGCAAGAGGAGGGAGATGAGGAAGAGGAGAAGGAAACAAAGCCAGATCCCCTTCATCAGCTAATTCTCCATTTTAGTCGTACTGCTCTTACAGAGAAGAGGTTAGATCCTCACTGATACAACAGCAGTGAACTGCAGAGACGTGCTGCATCTGTGGGGAAAAAAATCAGCATGTTATTTCTAATTTGTGATCTGCACTTCTGTCATTTCAGTAAACTGGATACTGATCATCTTTATATGGCATATGCTGATATTATGGCAAAGGTAAGTCATCGCAGAAGGTGTTGAAGTGCGCTGAAGTTTGCAAAGAACTACAGCATTGTGTACTCTGAAACACTCATGTTTATTCTCCCCTCTTTGTGTATTTAGAGTTGTCATATTGGTGAGGAAGAAGAAGGTGGAGAGGAAATGGGGGAAAATGCTGAGGATGAGATGTCCTTTGAGGTGCGACAGTCAGAACTGGTAATGGGCGGCCAGGGGCTGGGGACCAGGAACACATTGGAGCGGTAGCTCTCGACGCATTGAGTGACCTCATCATTGGAGCATTTATTCACAACCACATTTCTCTGTCTCTGTGTCTCTCTCTTGTATCGTCTTGTTGCTTCTTTATGTTCTGTCTCTGCTGTTTCTTTTGTTTGTATGCTAAGCTTCATTCATTCTGAGTTTCTTTACTTAGAAACTCAAAGCTCCAATCCAGGTATGCGTTAATTGTGTAAATTACTGTATACTCCCTAAATTCATCAGCAACAAAATGTTATTATGCTTCAACTTAAAACACCTCAACTACAGTCACTTTCATGCACCATTTACTATTTATTGCGCCTGGATTGGATCTAATTAGATTTAATAAATGTAAAATTAACATCAACAATAATAATAATAACTGTAACTCAAATTAACAATCATGATGTTAATTAATCTATTTTTAAATCATTATCGGCTCAGGTTGATGAACAATTCCTCCTATTTTAGATCAAGTACTGGTACTGGTACTCTATAAAGGCTACAGTATTAGAGTAGGCTAGCTGGGATTTTTTTTTAAACATTGACAGGCAGTAGCAGCTGCTCTGTGCAGGCTTTACTACATTCATTGCATCCAGTTGTGTACAGCGTCTCAGACACAGTAGTTCATTGTAAACCCCAGTGCTGATTGTGCTCTTAGAAGAAACTGCCACTGAACCATTACATACTTCCAGTGAGCTGTGTTTGTTTGCTCATTGATGTTGTGCTTCATCATTATGTATCATTGCTTTAAACTACTAAAATATTGTATATAATATTCAAAAATGCCTTCCAAAACACTTGTGAGGTGTTATATGAAACTGGGGAGTCAGACATGCAGAAACTGGACCTAAAATTACATTGGATATCCTGTTAAAGTCCTCTTAAATTCCAATGGCTATTAAAAAAACATATACTCATTTTATAACACTGTCATTCCTCCCAGTTTATATAGCTGTCTGTTTTGTTTCTCTCCGTCTCTCTTTCCTCATTGTTCCATCTAATTGGTCTCAGCTTCATAACACCAGTCTTTGCTAACTGAATGTTTGTGTTCAATGTTCCCTTCCCCCACTCACATAGCATACTGACAGACTACAGTGAAAGCCAGTGTAGAATATACAACACTAAAAGCTGTATCTACGTACACATAGTCGTAGCTTTAAAGTTTAATTCACATAGTGCACAAGTCACAGTCAGGCTTCACTAGAGAGTCAGGGACTGCAGGGTAAGTTTGAGGTCCAACTGCACGACACATAGCGGGTAGAGCTCGGCTAGGCATACGTGGGTGGCGGGGAGGGTGGTTGGGAGTGGGGAGGCTGGTTGGGAGTAGGGAGGGAGGGAGGGGGGTTTGGGAGCAGTGGTTGTTGTTGTTTTAGGGTCACTATGATACAAATTGATATATAACGTGGCTGATAGATAGAGTAATGTCAATTTGCCTTCTGGATTCAGAGATATTCATTTGCTCTTTTTCTTTTCCATAAATGGCATTTAATATGCGATTGGCTCAGTGTTATGAATAAAGATGAATATTGAAAGACATTTAGATTTAAAGATGAAAAGAGAGAAGAAGAAGAAGAAGGGCTGAAGAAAAATGTTATGTTTTTGCATTAATATTTGAAGTCATTTCTCAAAGTAAGCACAGACTGCTATGGAAAGCCAAAGAAATATCTCTGATACAGAGGAATAAAGGCTTTGATCCAAAGTATCTTCTTTGCAGGACCGCTGCATTTAAGAAACTTTGGGTATCTACATGGCTGAAATGCTAAGCCAGTGGAACTGTTTCCTGTAGTCTAACGCTTGCTCCAGCCAGCAAACGTGAAGAAGTAGTGTAACAACCCTGTGACTAATGAAGTGAATTGAGAGAATGTGTGCAAGAGTCAGGTTTTGAATTGACACTGAAAATCTGAATCTTGATAAAATTATTGTAAAATCCATGAAAGGACATTAATAATTAATTGATAATTCACAAAGGTTAATGATTAATGTAGATTTTCTTTTTGAAGTACATTCATTTTTCTACAAACATAGAGTGAAAACAACTGTTAAACTGATTGGTGATGATGATTTAAAGCGGTAGGGATTTGTGTGAAAGGCAAGTGAATGTGAAATTAAATTGTAAATCTTAATTGATAGAATGGACTTTTTTTTTTTTGATGAACCAGTGTTTTATGACTTTTAGCAAATATATACAGCACTTAACAAATTTATTAGCACCTGTCACACAAAAAAGATAACAAAAATATTTTAAAAATCTGTCAAAAAATTGTTTAAAACTAAATATTATGTGGACATTTATTAATCAAAAAACAAACTGAACTGTCAGATATTAATCACAATGACAGTCAATCAGTAAAACGAGTGTTTCTTTTCAATACTGCAATATAACAATTTGGCATCTTAGTAAAAAAAGATAAATAAAAATGCTAATAACAATTTACTATTCTTTCTGCTTTTCTCTAAAAACATGCATTTAAAAAAAAGTCGATTGAAAACAACAATAATTATAATTTTGTATTAAAAATGTAATTTCAGGTTAAGAGCTTGTGCATACTGGTGGATTAACCATTATAGAAACATAAAAATATTTTGGTAATTAATAATACTGTTGAGTTAGAGCAGCTGTGGCATAAATCCTACATTGGGTGTAAGACATTTGTTCAGCACTGTATATATATTTGTAATTTGATTCTATAGTCCATCCTATCGTTTTACCTTCTCTCTGTGACATATAATGGGAGCAAATCCTCATAATGTTTGTGTTGACCGCAGGAAAAAGAAATGGAGAAACAAAGACTCTTGTACCAGCAGTCTAGACTGCATAATCGTGGCGCTGCAGAAATGGTCCTGCAAATGATCAGTGCCTGCAAAGGTAGTCTTTATCCTTATCTTTGGTCAGCTTTGTTTACCCGCATTGTGTTCATGGCTTCCTGTTTCCTGCAGGTGAAACGGGCCCAATGGTGTCTACAACCCTCAAGCTGGGTATTTCTATCCTTAACGGTGGGAACAGTGAGGTTCAGCGGGTATGCCTTTTTAATATAAACACATGTAATTATAAACTTCCACCTCTAAAGAAGACCCTTTATTGAATTACCCTTATTTGTTGACAGAAAATGCTGGAGTACTTAAAGGACAAGAAGGATGTGGGCTTCTTTTTGAGTGTCCAGGCATTGATGCAGACTTGCTGGTCAGTTTTCAAATACTCAACAAAAGTGTAAATGTGGTTTATAATTTTTAATAGTAAACAGGGGGAAAAAAAGCTTTATATTCTGTGCAGTGTCCTGGATCTAAATGCCTTTGAGAGGCAGAACAAGGCAGAGGGGCTGGGCATGGTTTCAGAGGAAGGCACCAGTAAGTCTTCATGCTGTTTTTCTTAAGCATCACCTTTTCACATTGAATATACAGCAGAAAAGCTGTTATACTGCAGCTGCTGTTATATAGTCGATGATCAGAATCATTTATAAATGCAGATTATGGTGTTGGTGTTAATACTGCTGTTGTACTATCGCATTACACAGTAATATACGCTTTGAGTAGTAAAAAGACACTGGAGGAATTAAATGCATATACTTTAGACTCTTTTCCTGTGTAAACCACAATAGCAAAGTAAAAAAGACTCAAAGGAGTTTTGAAAGGTCACGAGAAATCACTTTCTGTAATTCAACTGAAGAATAAGTGAGTACCAATTCATGCCATTGTTCATTTTAAGACATTTTAAGCATCTATTAATTCATCTTTGTTTAAATCCATCTGTGCCATTACTGTACAAATTTTCATTTATTGAGTGATTAGTTCCCTAACATAAAGTATTATTAACCCTTTGATAACTGTTAAAGAATTACATATTCATGATTTAACTTAAATTGGTTCAAATGTTTTCCTCTGTATGTTTAGTAGTTTGTCTATTGGGCTTCACCTACTTTTGTCATCTAATTCTGGAGGTTAATTTAAAGTTCTAGCTGAATGAATTTGCCATGGAATGTTGTTAATCTCCCCCTCCTCATCTCTTAGTCCTCTTCTGTTGTCAACACACTGATCCTCTCTCCCTTCCCCACGATCACTGCCACCTCTCCCTTGTCCCTCCTTTCATGGCCCTCAGACTTGAACCTAGATCGGGGTAAATCATGTTTCTGTCCATCTGCCTCTCTGTCCTACTGCTGCTCCTCTTTCACTCCCCTGTCCTTTTTTTGCTCCCTCATTTCTCTTTCTAACATTGAAGAGAGGATTGGATGCCTCTCCATCTTTCATGCTCACAGCTCGCACCCTTCTTCACGTGTCTTGTTCATTCCAAAAAGCCTTGAATGGAATCTGGTCTTTTCTGCCCATGAACGACTATTCAAACGGGGAATGAAACCTTCATGAACGATATTTGTCATGAATAGTGATAGAGCTCCGCATTTCTCAACCCTAATACCTTCTTGCACATTTCTTAATCACATGACTTATAAAGAGGCTATTCCTATCTTGAAACATGGCCACAAAAGATGCTATAAGCGAAACTATATTGAGCTAAAGTCTCCTCGATTGTTATTTTTTTCAATTTGCGAAATTATGAATAAATGTGGCACATCCAAATACATATCTCCTCCAAATTAAGTTTCATGTGACAAGAAATGTGTGGTTTCTCGGATGTACTCTATCATGCACTGGATTCCCTTCAGCCTTTTGTTGGACAAAACCCCAACCTCTCTGACATTTACGTTAAAAGCTTGTATATGCTGCATGATTCTGCATTTGTGTGCTTGTTCCATGTAGCCAGCGGTGAACGGGGAATTGAAAAGGAAAGAGAAAATTAATAAATCAAGTAATATCGCGGGTTCACCTCTGACTGCTGCTAACATTTCACTTTATTGCTTTGTTTCTGTCTGTACAAGAGTCCTTTATCATTGTCTCAGTTTATACATGTTGTGACCAAATGTTTGTTACTGTCTCAATTTTTTTTGTTTTTTTTTCTCTTTAAATTTAGTGTATGCATGTGATGCTGATGCCTCGTGTATGGTGCCTGACATGTGCTTGTATGTCAGACTTTGTCAAACCGCAGTCATTTGTATTTCTTTGATTTATATTAAAACCCCGTTTCCAAAAAAATTGGGACAGTGTGCATAATATTGTTAAACACTGAAACAAAAGGAGTGCAATCAAATTTAGGAACTGAGAAATTGTATTCTTTTTTTAAAATCCTCATTGTGAATCTTATTTTAGCAATAAATAAATTAAAAAGTTGGGATACAACAATAAACAGCTGAAAAAGATGTATGATATCACTAAAGAAACTTAAAGAAAATGGAGATAGATACTTTATCAGAAAAAGATTTTATCATCCGCAGTACTTAATGTTATTCAAAGATTTGAAGCATCCCGAGAACACAAGGGAAAGCATTGAAACTCGCAACTCTCCACAAAACTCTGTTCACAAGGGTCAAAACTGTGATTGAATGGACGTGATCTTCAGTCCCTCGGGTGACAATGGATTACACAACACTGCTTTAATAGAAGCCGTGATTATGTAATGAAAGTCACTGCAAGGGCTCAGAAGCATTTCTGAAAACAGTTGTCAGTGAACTGAACCTACAAATGCTAGTTATAACCCAACCATGTTTAAACACCCCCCCCCCAATAAAATAAAAAGTGACATGGAACAATATTTACAAATTTGGAGCAGCCAATGCTGCCAACTAGACAGCAGTGTTTTTTAGATGTTGCTTTTCAGTTTCAGTTTTAGAGTCGGGTGCACTTCAGTGAAAGCATGTTATGAAAAAAGAACAAAAGTTTTATAGACAATTGAAGGAGATCCTGAATTGATGCAAAATTATTTATGTTATCAGTTCCCAAACTCAAACTGTTAAAATAAAATCTGTTACTTGTGACAAACATTTCTGCTAAACTCTATCAAAGCTTTTACAGTCATGACATCCAAAAGTATGGTGGCTCTGAGAGGTCAAACACACTACAACTTAAGAAATTACCATTAAATAGAAAAACAATGAAAAAGCATATAAAAGCAATGGAAATTTTAAAAAACACACACACAAGCTGCAAAAGTGCACAAAACAAACCTCACAAAATACACAGAAGTGTGAAGGTAACAAGCCAATGGCTAGCAAGCAGAGCACACATTTCGTTATGGCAGGTGTGTCAAACATAAGGCTTAGGGCCCAGAATTGGCCCAGCAAAGACTCCAGTTCAGCCCGCAGGACAACTTTAAGAATATGAAGAAGTTTGTAGATTTAGAACTTTTTATTTTACAGCTTTTCCTATTGATAAGGCCATCCCCATTGGCCTTCACAATACACCAAAGCAATTACCTAACAGACAAACCATGACAATAAGGTCAGAGGTCAAGTTTTCTGAAAATCTTGTGAATCCGATAACTCGAGAACAATGTGATATAGGATTTTGAAATGGATACCACACGTGTATCTGCTAGTACGCTGAGGTGTAGAACTGACGGCCACCAGTATTTTTCTACTTCCACTGTGCTTTATTAAATTTCCATTGTGTTTTGTGTGCTTTTGCATTGTTTTTCTATTTGCTGGTGTTTTCTTAAGTTGAAGGGTTCGCTAAAAATTATGTTTAAAAAAAATCTCAGTTTCAACATTTCATATGTTTTGTAAAGTAAACCAATTAAATAGTATAGGGTCTTTTTTCCTGACATTTTAAAAAGCTTCCCACGTTTTTTAGGAAATGGGGTTGAATTTGAAAAAAAAAAAAAAATCATCCTTAATTTTATTGAAACGAGCAGCACTCAGTCAGAGGTGGTTATTGAGGTGCCTGATACTAAAATCCTTGTATTCATGATGGTAAGTTCAGTAATGAATTTTAGTTATTATCCTCACATTTCTTATACTAAGATAAGTTGTTAGACTTTTTTACCGTTACGTGTAATCTGATTTAGCTCGAATGTATCTCTTTGATTCATTCAGTTGTCTCATCTTTTTAGATGAGAAAGTGATGTCAGATGATGAGTTCACCTGTGACCTCTTCCGTTTCCTGCAGTTGCTTTGTGAAGGTCACAATAATGGTGGGAATTACTCATGTGTCAAATGAGAGTAACAATAAATTGAGACACTCGTGAAGCACATATCTTCTTATTCAAAATGTCTATTTTAATGCAGATTTTCAGAACTACTTGCGGACTCAAACAGGCAGCACAACTACCATCAATGTCATCATCTGTACAGTGGACTACCTTCTCCGTCTCCAGGTATACTGGCTGCAGTTAGTGCACCATATACAGACTGAAAATAAAGGTTTTAAGGCTATGGTGGGACTTGTGATATTGCGAAGCCACACATATCGTAAAATGAGTTTCTCTTTTAAACATTATTGCATTTTAAACTGTGCAATAATTTTACTTCTAAAGTGTGTTTGCAGTATGGTATCAAAATTTCTCTAATGACCCCTTATTTTTCATTCAAGGAGTCTATAAGTGACTTCTACTGGTATTACTCTGGGAAGGATGTCATCGATGACCCAGGCAAAAAAAATTTCTCCAAAGCTATGACAGTGGCAAAACAGATTTTCAACAGTCTAACTGAATATATCCAGGTAACACTGGAGCAGATCAGACCTTTATACAGAGTGGATGCTTTTGCTGTTTTGCCTATAACACATAGTCTCTTATTTCAGGGTCCATGCAACGGCAACCAACAGTCCCTAGCCCACAGCAGGCTGTGGGATGCTATTGTTGGCTTTCTTCATGTCTTTGCCCACATGATGATGAAGCTGGCACAGGTATGTACATATAATTCAATCAATCGAATTAATTCCAAATTAAATGTATTAATTTCTCTGTAGAGGTGAAGACAGTGTTGCCTCTGTTCTGTAACATCATCAATTGACCTCCTGACCTCTCATGCTGCATTTTATTTTCAGTGACCATGAAAGAAAGTCAGTGGTAAACATAAAAGGTGTGATGCCCATTACATGTGAATTATACTTCTGCATCACATCTATGCTGTAACTTATGCCATAAAATGCAACCGCATTTTAACCCTATGCCAGAACTTTCTGCGTAACCTGACGTGCGCCTTTTGAGAAATGTAGCTACACGTCTGCTGGATGCATACTACAACGAGTTAAATGGCGTGGAAGGTTGCAGTGTAAGGATAAATATGAGTTCCTGGTTACTACCTAAGTTAGGACGTAGATGTTCTGCATAAATCCAAATCAAGCTTCAGCTTTACAAAAAAAAGCTTTAGCTTTACACTGATGATGTTTGTATAGTATGTTAAACTTTGGTACTCAGTGTAGACGTGGTATCAAGAAAATCTTTTTGAAGTACCTCCCCTGGTTTTATACTTTACAACGGTTCTTTCCTTTATTGCACTTGAAAAAGCTCTGTTGTTATAAACCTGGCAGTAAACACATAAACGTTTCTGTGAAACAATTGACAGAAGCACCTTACAGTACACCTCAATATTACAGAAAATATTACAATTTCTAATTTCTTAAATATTTATTTTATTTCATTATGTATTTGATTGGTCATTTTGGTCATATTTTGACATGTTGCCTAAGTATTAGTGTAAAAGATTAAATTATAATTTTGTGAGTTTCATGTGACTGCTTACATTTCAGGGTTATGGTATTATTTATGCAGGCTCTCCGTGACAATGGTTTCCCTTTCTGGGAGATCAGTATTTGACTACCTGCACTTTTTCCTGTTGTGAATTGCCTGGTGTAAAAAATAGAGTTCATCAGCATTAAATATAATACACATTAAGAGATTTAATAATAAGACTTGCCCAGTTGATTCTATACGATTTACTATTTTAATTTAAAACTATACCATATAGTTATACTTTAAAATGAACTTAAAGGTCAGTCACTTATTTATGAATTAAGTACTAAAAAGTTGGACTACTGTTCAAAACATGGGAAAAGGGAAACTGTAAATCAAATACTATGATTTAAAAAAATTATTTATAATATGATTTATTTAATTTATATGTTGTCCAACAAAGGAAAAGAAATGCTTTACAGAGAGTGTTCCTTAAGTCTTTCAGACTTTAATAAGTTAGAGAAAGGTTCAACAGTCAGTGAAATAGCTGGTGTGTAAATAGTGTGTTAAATTTGGTGATTTCATTATCAACAGAAAATAATGGCATTAAAAGTTTTAGAGAATCCAAAGACATCTCTGTACACTAGAGACAAAGCTGAAAACCAGTCGTGTGGTGAAGATCTTTGGGTCCTTAAGCAGCTCTGCATTTAAAAATGTATCGGGTTATTGCCAGAGGTATGTTTAGCACCAGGAGTTTCAAATGAAATTTTATATAATAATGAGCAAACATGATTTTTTTTTCTGTTGCTTTGAATTATTATAACTATACACAGTGTTAAAGCGTTTTCTAATTGGATGATTTTTAAAATCCACAAAGCTATTTGTGATGCTAGTGCTATAAACAAAAGGTCAAAATATTTACATATGTAGACATTTCCATTCTGTTTAGTGCATTAATCCTCTGCAGATAACTGAGGCTAATAACATTTATCATTGATAGCTTTTGCATGCATAATCTTTTTAAACATGTGGCCAGATTAAGAGATGATCCATGCTTGATCAGTAAGTTCCCAGCTCAGCATATTTTAACAGATATTACACACCTAAAACAAATTACCTTACCATGTGCTTTTGCTTTTCAGCTGATAGTCTCACAGTCAGCTTCTCTGTTTTACATTTATCATTGTGTTTCAAAGTCTACATCAAACTTGTGCATTGTTTTGCTGTCGAATGAAAGAAAGCACACACACAAAATGTAAAAAACATATGTGAGTGTATTTTGTTTAACACCTGAATAATTTATTTATTATTGAAATTGTCTTCCACATGGTCATTGCAGGGTAAAGTATGTATCTACTTTTTTATTTATTAATGCAGTATTGTGTTTACTAGTTTTTCATTTATTCAGTGTTGGTTTCTCTTATCAGGCTGTTTTATATCCACCTGCTTTAAACAGAACTCAGTAAGAGTCACTATTTACTCAATGCTAATTACAGTGTATTTCCAAACAAAACTGACATACTAGCACGTTGAGTCATTTGAGGAAATAGAAAAACAGTTTGATATATATATCAGATTTTATTTTTATTTTTTTTCAGTACACTATACAGTGAACTAAACCTTTCTGTAGCACATTAGGCCCCATGAACAGCAAACTGTATATTTTCAGACACTGCAATAGTCTTTTTGTTTTTAGTTTTTATCCTATAAAGCGATTTTCAGAATTATGTTAGCACCATGGGTTTTAAAGTAACAGCCTTATAATTAAAAAATAAACATAGTTTATACTTAGGCAGTTTGTGACAAAAAAAGCAGGTGACTACAAAACTTCCTGAGGGAGGGCCTGACTTTTAACCTCAACTGTTGGAGTATACACTTTAATATAAAATTATTTTGTCTTTGTATATACACTTTAATGTGACATCCACTTCGTGTGCACACATTTAACAGAAATTACAATTTTTTGACTTTTTTCTTTTTCATTTACAGTGTGTTGAGCTGTGGCTTGTGTGTTGCTTCGATTTAAAATAACTATATATCTATGAATTTTTTGTAGTTTTTCCTCTGTACACCACCATAGTGCAGTTTAAATCAAACAGGCTTTCAGCTTTAATTCAAGGGGTTTTACAACAATTTGGATTTACCTCTTGACGAATTACACAGTCCCGACTTTGTCTCAAAATTTACTAGATAATTACCTGACAAGCAGTTTCATGGCCAACTGAGGTTTGGTCCTTCCCTATTCCATGATAAATGTAACAGATATGATATCTGAAGTTGATTTGAATCAAAGTAAAATTATCATTAGGGTGAAAAAATAAACATATCAGAGAAATAACATAATCCTTTAGGACAAATCCAAATCAAATATCTGGTACAAACCTACAAAGAAGGAATGCAGTGGCGAGCTCAGCAACACCAAAAGGCCTGAGAGACCACAAAAGACAACTGATGTGAATGATGATAGCATTTCCTTATTGATGAAGAAAAACAACTTTACAACATCTAACCAAATCAAGAACACTCACAGTCAGTGCATTATTCCTAAGCTCTACAATCAAGAGATGCCTTATTGAATGTAAATACAGAGAGTTTACAACTAAGTGTTACCACTAGTTACACTCAAGAACAGTGCAACAGAGTCATTGTCTGCAAATTATTTTAATCCAGGTATCATAATCAATTGTTAAATGTTAAATTATATTCCTTAGTTCTATTACTTTTGAGTATCTGAGTAGCTGTGTATAAAAATGGCAATTCTCTGGGGTGGTGCACAGAGGCAAAACTACAAAAATGGTATCTTTGTCCAGTAAATTATGGACCTAACTCTACATTTACACACAAGCTTCTGCTTTAACTTCTAATGCTCACTGTCATAGAAATGTAATATTCACAAAGGGGTACATGACATTTAAGCACTGTTTTATCACAAAAATGGGGGAAAATGTTCACATTATGGCATCTTTAAAAACCATTGTTACGTTTTGATAAATTCTCTCAGCATGACGATTTGGTTCATTAACACCCTCCTTTGTTATGAATGTGATTGTATACAACACACAGTATTTTGAATGTCCACTTCTTATTATAACAAGGTTTTGGGTTCCTGACACTTACAGTATAACTTGTGCTTTCAACTTTATCAAAGACTGTGTCTTTATGTAAACCTCTAATGTTTCAAGACAGTATTGTTGTCATTACTGTAAGGTCTTGTTTTTCTTTCATGGTCACAGGACTCCAGCCAGATTGGTCTGCTGAAGGAGCTTCTTGACCTACAGAAAGATATGGTTGTTATGCTGCTGTCTTTATTGGAGGGTAAAATAACTTTCTCATCGCTTTTATGTCAGTTTTCATCTTTTTATCCTTTTCCAGTTTCAGGTTTTTTTAAATTCTGCTTTGTATTTATTCAGGAAATGTGGTAAATGGTACAATCGCTCGCCAGATGGTAGACATGTTGGTAGAGTCCTCCAGCAATGTGGAGATGATACTCAAGTTCTTTGACATGTTCCTCAAACTGAAAGATATCGTGGCCTCAGATGCTTTCCGTGATTATGTGACAGATCCTCGAGGGTTGATCTCAAAGAAGGACTTCCAGAAGGCGATGGACAGTCAAAAGCAGTACTCCCCCTCTGAGATTCAGTTTCTTTTGTCCTGCTCAGAAGCAGATGAAAATGACATGATCAATTATGAAGAGTTTGCCAGTCGCTTCCAGGAACCCGCCAAAGACATTGGCTTCAACATTGCCGTGCTGCTCACCAATCTGTCTGAGCACGTCCCTCATGACACCAGGCTACAGAACTTCCTGGAACAAGCAGAGAGTGTGCTGAACTACTTCCGTCCGTTCTTGGGGCGTATTGAAATAATGGGAGCCAGTAGAAAGATTGAACGTATCTACTTTGAAATCAGTGAGGTTAACCGCAGACAGTGGGAGATGCCTCAAGTAAGAGAGTCCAAACGGCAGTTCATCTTTGATGTCGTCAATGAGGGTGGCGAATCAGAGAAGATGGAGATGTTTGTCAATTTCTGTGAAGACACCATCTTTGAGATGAATATAGCCTCACAAATTTCAGAGCAGGAGGAAGAGGAAAAGGGGGAAGAAGAAGATGAAGGGGAAGAGGGAGGAGGTGAGGGTGGAGGAGGTGGGGAAGGAAATGGAGGAGGAGATGAGGATAGTAATGGAAGGGAAGGTCCACATGAATCAACCTCTGCCTTTGTAGATTTTATAAACAGCCTGTTAAGCTTCCTCGGCATTTTCACCTTCCGCAACCTTCGCAGACAGTATCGTAGAGTGAGAAAAATGACCTTCAAGGAGATTGTAGTGGCCTTGTCCACTTTTTTCTGGACCATACTGATGACTATACTACACTTCATTTACAATGTATGCAAAGGTATCTTTATGATCATCTGGCAAACATTGTTTGGAGGTGGCTTGGTAGAGGGAGCCAAAAATATCACAGTCACTGAGATTTTAGCCAGCATGCCAGATCCCACCCAGGACGATGTGCATGGCGATGGACCAGGGGAGCCAAGGACAGGGGAGGAACAGGACACTGGAGGTGTAACAGATACTGGTGAGACTGGGAGTGGAGAGGAAGAAGAGGAGGATACCCAAGAAAAAGAGGGTGGGAGGATACCAGGAATGGATGGTCCAGGTGGACTTGGAGATATGGGTGTGGAGGCACCAGTTGAACCTCCAACTCCTGAAGGAACTCCCATAACAAAGAGAAAAATGGTAAGGAGTAGCTTGGTCTTATCTATCAGTCGTTTGTGATTATACATCTACCAAAAATGTGGATAGAAAACATCAGGTCTTGTGCAGTAGATTCTTTTGTCTACAGGCACCAGAAGAGACTGATGCTAGTCAGAAACCACCAGAACCTCCTCCCGTAGAAGAACCTCCTACGGAGCCTGAAAAGGCTGAGTAAGACTCTTTAGTTGGTGTTGTGTCTATACTAATGTGCTTCAAGCATTTCCCTCTCCCTTCCATGGCTCTAAATCAGGTTATACCTTTTAGCCAGGACAATCCAGGAGGATTACAAAAAACAACTTTGAACAGTTGGAGGTTAATGATTATCCGAATGCACATTTTTATTAAAAGGGTTGGTTTTCATTGCATTGAAGCAACTTCCTGAGCTAAGAAAAAGATCATGGAAGTTTTAGTGCACCATGATTTTTAAATTGATGGAATGAATTGATATTACATTAACTCAAGACTGTTTATTTTTTAGTGCTGAAACTGGAGAGAAAACAGAGAAAGAATGTGAGAGCAAAGAAGAAGTAGAACCAGAAAAACCAAAGAAATCAGCAGCCAAAAAAGAAAAGAAGCTGAAAAAGGATGGAGGTTTTCAAATCTGGACTGAGCTGGAAACCCAAAGGAATAAATTTATGGTAGTATTTGTGTCAAAAGTGATTTTGTTGTGCAATTTTAATGTCAGTATCAAGTGATTGATCAGTTGAAGAATATTTATCTGTCTTTTATAGAACTATCTTTCCAGAAACTTCTACAACCTGCGTTTTTTGGCTCTGTTCCTTGCATTTGCCCTGAACTTCATTCTTCTTTTCTATAAGGTAAGAAGAAATACCTTTAATTTAATCTATCCCTTTTTTTACCTGGAAACTGGGATGAATCTGTTTAATGTGGCTTCTGTCTGTTCTTTGATCATTTTACCCTGTCAACTCTTAGGTGTCGGACAGCCCGCCTGAGGGTGAAGAGATGGAAGGCTCTGGACTATCTGAGGGAAGTGGGCTGTTTGAAGGGTCTGCGTTTTTTGAAGGCTCAGGCGAAGAGCTTGAAGGATCCGGAATTAATGATGGAGGAGATGAAGATGAGGAAGATGTTCCAATTTATTTCTATTTAGAGGAGAGCACTGGATACATGCAGCCTACTTTGTCCTTTCTTGCGATCCTTCACACAGTCATTTCATTCATCTGTATCATTGGCTACAACTGCCTGAAGGTAGGCTGGACACACATTTTAAATGTACTAGTATATAGTAAAAAATGAGTACATAGAAAAAAATAAATTTTTGTTTAATTCAGAAAGGCAAATTTTCAAATATTTATAATCATTACATGTAAAATACATTTTTCAGGTTTTATGAATCACAAAGGTCAGAAATCCAGTATCTCAAATTATTAGAATATTTCCTAAAATGAATTACAATATTTAAAAAGTATGTTCATTTATTTACTCAATATTTGTCTGAGACTCATTTATAAATATCCGCATCAGTACGGCTGACGTCTTTTTTTGAAGCCCAGGTTGCTCTGATAGTTGCCTTCCTCTCATCTGTATTTTTGGTTCAGGTGTTTCTCATCTTCCTCCTAACAGGAAGGTCAGGACAGCATTGGGTAGCCAATCCATAACATGATCAGAAAACCCTGGTACTTCTGGTACTATGGATAGGTGTTACGTGTTGGAAATCAGTGTCTTCATAAAGCTTGTTAGCAGATGGAAACATGAATTACTCCAAAAATTTCTAGATGCCTAAATTGACTTTGGAGTAGATGAAACACAGTGGACCAACCACCAAAAACACCAGCAAATATCATGGTACCCCAAATCATCATAGATGGCAGAAACTACACTGGACTTCACACATACTGGTTTCTGTGCCTCTGCATTCTTCCTACAGACTTTGGGATCCAATTTCCAAATGAAATACAACATTTATTTTCAGCTGAGACAATTCAAACAGTTTAAATATTTCTGACGATGTCTCTAGTTCATGAGTGGCTTGATATTAGGAAGGTGACAGTTATAGCTCATTACCAAGCCATCTGTGTGTGGTTGCTCTCGATGCATTAACAGCACCCTCAGTTCACTCATTATGAAGTTCTCCCAAGTTTTTGAGTGGACTTTTATTAAGAGCTCTCTCAAGGCTTCAGTGATTGCAGTTGCTTGTGCATTTCTTCCTAGCACATTATCAATAATAGGCAGTGCGCTGCAAAATATCAGCACTGACCTTATGCAGCTTACCTTTCCTGTGGAGGGTGTTGATGTTTGTTATCTGCAGAACTGTCAGTAGTCTTCTCCATGATTGTTGTTGCATTTACTTAGCTAGTCTAGGAGGAGGCAGTAGTTTGAATAGTATTTAATTAAACATTATAATATGCAAAATTACATATAAGAATTTGAAATACTGGATCTCATGGTCTAAGGTCCATAATAATCAACGCTAATGCTAAGCTAGCCAAGAACCCAGAGTGATGATAAAGAGTAGTCAGGCTGAAGCCTCCATTACTACCTGTTCATGTTTTTACAGCAGAAATACTGTGGCGATGGCTTTAAAGTCTTTTGATGCTGGTTTTCAACGTTGCTTTGTGCTGTCAGCTTTGTGTTTATACCTAAATAATGAGATCATGTATGTGTCCTCATTAGGATTGGGATTTGTGTTGGTGTATGGGGTTGTATGTTGTTAGGTCTGCTGTTAAATAGTAATTATGATCCAGCACGTTTCAGGTCAGAGAAAGCAAAGTAATATAAAGAGTAGTATAATAAATCATTTTAACCTGGGAGTAATTAATTATACTGCTTAGCAATTGTGGTGACTCTCAAAGCAAAGTCAGAGAGAATCAAATGAGAATCAGAAAGTCGATAATGGAAAAAAAATGGAATGGAATTGCAAATTTTTTATCAATTCCCATCTCTATTTCTTCATAAATATTGACAGATTTTGATCAATCGTATTGAATCATCTGCATACCTCAGTGAAACAGCACTTGCTATTGTTTCTGCCAGATTCCTCTGGTTATTTTTAAAAGAGAGAAAGAACTTGCGAGAAAGCTGGAATTTGATGGCCTCTACATCACTGAGCAACCTGAGGATGATGACATCAAGGGCCAGTGGGACAGATTAGTCCTGAATACACCGTACGTAGATACAGAAAACAGCTTTTAATAGTGAGAAGATAAAGCAGGCTCACAAGAAAATTCTGAAAAGCTTTTTTCGTAATGTAATTGACAAATGATCCTATTTCCCTACAGCTCTTTCCCAAACAACTACTGGGATAAATTTGTCAAGCGAAAGGTGAGTTAAGATTGACTCAAGTGGTCTTAACTTTGAGCTCAGTACAGCATGTTCATATGTAATGGCATGTCCATGTCCAGGTTCTGGATAAATACGGAGACATTTATGGAAGAGAAAGAATTGCTGAGCTCCTGGGGGTTGATTTAGCTTCCCTGGATGTGAGTCAACAACATGAGAAGAAACAGGAAGAACCAGATAACTCTGTGTTTGCATGGTACCGTATACAGTCAGATGCACATTTGGCATGATTTCTGAAAACTAAAACAAGCACATTAAAGAGAATGTTGTCTTTTTTAGGGTGACTTCTATTGACATCAAGTACCAGATCTGGAAATTTGGTGTGGTGTTCACAGATGGTGTAAGCAAACCTATATACTATATCATACTATACTATTTCTGCACTACATTGTACTAAATTATACTTACACCTCTCTTTGTAGACTTTTCTTTATCTCTGTTGGTACTTGGTGATGTCTTTGTTTGGGCATTACAACAACTTCTTCTTCGCCTGTCACTTGCTGGATATTGCGATGGGTGTCAAGACTCTTCGCACTATCCTGTCCTCAGTCACACACAATGGCAAACAGGCAAGAGCAGGAAATACTCACTTGCACTAATGTTGTTTAAGCTTCACTTTGCTCACTCTTCTTTCTTCTTCTCCCTGCTAGCTCATGATGACAGTGGGCTTGCTGGCCGTGGTGGTGTATCTTTACACCGTAGTTGCCTTCAATTTCTTCCGCAAGTTTTACAACAAGAGTGAAGATGAAGACGAACCAGATATGAAATGTGACGATATGATGACTGTACGTGATTGTGGATGATAAACAAACTTTGTACTTCCTCTCACAACTTTGCCACTTCCCACATTTTTTTTTTTTACTTTACAGTGTTATCTGTTCCACATGTATGTGGGTGTCCGAGCAGGCGGAGGCATTGGAGATGAGATTGAAGACCCAGCTGGAGATGAATACGAGCTTTATCGAGTGGTCTTTGATATTACTTTCTTTTTCTTCGTCATTGTTATCCTGCTGGCCATCATTCAGGGTACAGAAAATCCTCTCCTGGGAGACATTTATCAAATCCTTCATTACTCAGCAAATGTTATAATTGTATAATTGGTTTGAACTAAAAGTAAAGAAACACAATGGGACAGTGTGAGGAACATCTGGATTACTGTTGGCACAGAAAAGTGATTTTAGGACATGTTCAGATTTTATACACATGTGTGATGATTGTGTTATTGTGTACTGCAGGTCTGATCATTGACGCCTTTGGAGAACTCAGAGACCAACAAGAGCAAGTCAAGGAAGACATGGAGGTACAGTCGTGTTCAGTGTTTATGTTTTTCACACATTTATCATGCCACATTGACCACTGTTTTTTTGTGCAGACGAAATGCTTCATATGTGGCATTGGAAGTGACTACTTTGATACAACGCCACATGGCTTTGAGACCCACACTTTTGATGAACACAACCTGGCCAATTACATGTGAGTGCCCCTCTTCTGTCTTACCTTGTATACAGTTAGGTCCATATATACTTGGACACTGACAAAAGTTTTGTTTTTTTTACCTATTTACTAAAACATATTTGAGTTATATTATGGGTGTGGGCATAATGTGTAGACTATCTGCTTTCACTTGAGAGTATGAACATTTAAATTGAGTGAAGGGTTTAGGAGTTTCATCTGTTTAGCATGTGCTACTGTCTTTTTAAAGGGAGGGTGTCAAAAAAGTAATTGGACAATTGACTCAAAGGCAGAGGTGGGCAATTCTTTCGTTATGTCAATATAAATCAAGCAGATAATAGGGCTGGAGTTGATTTGAGGTGTGGTGTTTGCATTTGGAAGATTTTGCTTTGAACAGACGACATGCGGTCAAAGGAGCTCTCCATTCACCTGAAACAAGCCATTCTTCAGCTGCAAAAACAGAAAAACCCATCTGAGAAATGACTACAATATTAGGAGTGACAAAATCTACAGTTTGGTACTCCTGAGACAGAAAGAAAGAAAGAAATCACTGGTGAAGTCAGCAATGCAAAAAACCTGGACGTCCAAGTAAGACAACTGTTGTGGATTATTGCAGAATCATTTCGATGTTAAAAAGAAACTCTTTCACTCCTCCCAGGACATAGGCGTACCAATATCCAAGTCTACCAAGAGAAGACTGCATCAAAGTAAATACAGAGAGTTCACTGCAAGGTGCAAGCCACTCATAAGCCTTAAGATGGCTAGATTTGACTTTGCTAAAAATATCTAAAAAAGGAAGCACAGATCTGGAAAAACATTATTTGGACAAATGAAACCTTGTTGTAGAACGGCTTATGATCCAAAGCATATCACATCATCTAAAACACGGCTAAGGCAGTGTGGGCATGCATGGCTCCCAGTGGCCCTGGGATGATGTGACACAGGACAGGACAGAAGCAGCCGAATGAATTCGGAGGTTTTCAGAGACATACTGTTTATGTAAATCCAGCTAAATGCAGTCAAATTGATAGGGCGGCGTTTCGTAATACAGATGGACAATGACCCAAAACATATAGGCAATGCAACCAAGCAGTTTATTAAAGCAAAGAAGTAAAATATACTTGAATTACCAAGTCAGTCACCTGATCTTAACCCAGTTGAGCTTGCATTTCACTTGTTGAAGACTAAACTTTGGACAGAAAGGTCCACAAACAAACAGCAACCAAAAGCTGCTGCAGTAAAGGCCTGACAGAGCATTAAAAAGGAGGAAACCCAGCATCTGTGTTAGGATGCCTGGGTCGTTGACCCAGGGTTTTTGAGTTTATTATATTATTTATCATTTCTAGTCTTTGGGTTTTCGTTAGAGTCATGTCTTATGGTTTGTCTCTGTGTAATCCTTAGTTGCTGTCTCCCCTGTCTGCTATATCCCCGTGTCCAGTCAGTGTCTGTGTCT